AGATGCTAACCAGGAACTCCTGCCTGGTGGCAGGAGATGGAGCCTGGGAGGCGGGTAACATTACAGCCTGGAGCCTCTTACCTAGTGGCATTTGATGGACCAGAGAGCCACAGCTAGCCCCTCTCTGTTCTCCATAGGTATTTTCAAATATCCAGGAGCCACATGGTGTGGGCATATGTGTGTGTGGATATGGGATGTTATGGACTGAATTGTGTCCCCCCCCCAGATTTGTATGTTGAAGGCCTAACCCCCTACATGATTATATTTGGAGACGGGGCCTTTAAAGGGGTAATTATGGTTAAATGAGGCCATAAGGGTGTGGCCCTAATTCAATAGGACTGGTGTCCTTATAAGAACAGGAAGAGACAGAGGGCATGCATCACAGAGGAAAGGCCATGTGAGGACACAGTGAGAAGGCAGCTGTCTGCAAACCCAGGAGAGAGGCTTCAGAAGAAACCAAACCTGCCGACACCTTCATCTTGGACTTCTAGCCTCCAAAAGTGTGAGAAAATAAATTTCTGTTGTTTAAGCCCCTCGGTCTGTTGTATTTTGTTATTGTAGCCCCCGGCGACTAATACATGGGGGCCGGCATGCCCGCGTCTTCCTATTTGACATCTCTGCTCCGAGGGTTCTTGTTATCTCCTGGTGGGCACGGCAGATGGCAGTGGTGTTCTGTGAGTTTGCACAGCCAGCCTGTCAGGCTGTGGTTCTGGCTTAGATAACAAAAGGGTCAGAGGCGTAAACTTCAAGGTCCAGTCTTTTTCCTTGGAAATACAACTTTGCATTAAAGTATCTATATAAATATTAATCAAACTGGGCTCTAGAAAAGTAAATTAGATACTGTTAAAAAGGAGAAATAAGGGAGAAAATCTTCTCAGGCATTTGACATGCCTGCAGTCTAACTCCCTCTAGTTAGTGATGATTCATTGCTATTTCTTGGAGTCTAAGTCTGAGTCTTTGCTCATGGAGCCTGAACTCTCTCCATAGTTCCCCGGAGGTTTCTGCCTCTGAAGCTCCCTGGCTACACTTGCTGCTGAGGCCTGAAGTATCAGAACAGATCACACAGCTGGTCAGCTTCATATTAATGTCAAGAATACTTTAATCTTTCAGTTGCCATAATTGGGCTGTTATCTCCACAGTCCATTCTCAGCACAGTTACAGAACCAAAACTGTCCTCTGTTCCCATGAGGCTCTTAGGAATGGAAACATAACTAATTTGGAAAGCAGGAAGCTAGCACCTCCTCCTGCACTGCACTCCTATCAGGATGCTTCATCACAAATCCACGGCAAGTCAGAAGAGACACACAGAGATCCCTTCCCTGATCACATAGACATTTAACTTTCTCTGTACTTCAGGGCTCACTTTCTGAGATCATTTGTGTGTGTGTGTGTGTGCGTGTGTGTGTGTGTGTGTGTTTTACTTTCATGGACCCAGAATGCTTTCAAAGGATTAAAATAATTTTCTTTATAATATAATTACTCCAGATTAGAACTTGCAAACTTTTTTTACCCTTGAGCATTGGAAGTCATGTGTTCTAAGCAGTGTCTGGAGGTGAACATACAGACAAATGACCAAGATAATGATAATATATGGAAAATATCAGTCCAAAGCATTGTTCTCAACAACTACTCATAATTATCTGTGTCTGAATGACCACAAGTAAATGAACCTAACTGGACAGAGAACTGGTCCAAATGAGCATCTCCTCCGGGCTGTTTAGTGGCCCCATGAATGTCTAAGGTAAGCATCAGTCTACTTGGATATAAAAATGAAAGTAGTTCCTATCTTACTCACTGAGCAAAAAGACTAAAATTAGAAAAATTATCTATGAGAAGTCTGCTTCTGTTTTGGATTGATAAAGGCAGATAAGGGGTTGTGGTCAAAGTATATATAAAGACATAAGCATTATTTTTTGGAGTCTTTTGGAAAATAGTTTGTTAGACGCTTGAAAGATAAACCTGATCTTCCAAAAGATATTTGTGATGTCACTGCCCCTTGGATTTACGTGGCTTTGGCCAAAACTTGATGTACGGCAAAATTCCCTAAAATGCGTTCCCTGGAATTCGAATTCTCTGGAATATGAAGATTTCTTGTGAAAAAGCGTTTTGTGTTTAAAGGTTTGGGATATTAACTAAACTTTTAATTTCTGTAAATTGATGCCTTAACAGCTACAAAATGACCACTGGCTGTTCTCAAGGAAACCCTAGCTCACCTAAAACATCTGGAGACTTTAGATAGCCCCAAACCATATTCTCTAACAGTTACAGTGAACACGAATTTCACAGGATGACACTTTCAAACAGCTAGCCAATCCTAAACCCGCTTACCCTGCCCCGCCCATTCATTTCCATGGAAACAACAATAAAGTTGCTTGCTCACAGTTCTGCACTCTCTCTGCCCTGTGACCAATCCTGATGCTTCCTGAGTGGCCCTGCTTGGCATGCTGTATTCTCCCCAGGGAACTATGAGTATAATAAAACTGTGAAACTCCTTCTGGTTTCTCCCTTTGATCTGCATTTGGCCTCCCTATACCTCACGCAATATAATATGGCTAAAACAAAACTGTGGATTAGGAAAAATCAAACATATTTCTTTATTGCAGGACTCTCAGAGATGTTAATATGTAAATGTAAATTCTAAATTTTCAGTGTTAAATTTACTTGGCTTTGGAATCTTTTTTGAGTAGTATGTCTTATGGAACTAGCATTTCTGAGATCCCCTTGGGCGGGGGCACTATTCTGGAGAGATACTGATTACCTGTCTAGGAGACTTGGTGTGTCAGTGTTTTCTGAAGATAAAAATGCACTGGCATCATTGTGAAATGAAATCAAACATTATAGACTAAGGAAAGCTCAACGCCCATATGAAATTTAACCTGTAGACTTTCCTTTCATCAAGGATTTGGCACAAAGACACTGAATAGTGAAATCTGAATGAACCTACACAGTTTGTGGAGTCCATACATTATAAAATCCATATATCTATTACCCTTCCTAGTCTTTGACTAAGTCTTTTGTGCATAAGACAAGTGCTTATTAGATGCCTTCTCTTGTATATTCATTAGGCACCTCAACCTCAACTTGTTCATACTGAACCAATTGTCACATCTCTGTTCTACTTTCCTTAAGTGACATTTCCATTTGCCCGTTCACTCATACCAGAAACATAGGAATCTATCAGTCTTTTCCTTGTCTCTTACTCAGTACCCATCCATAGCCCATTAATCACTTCATTTTAGCATGTCTCATGTCATATCTGTCCTCTCCATCTCCAATACTGCTCTTAATCCAGACCCTCATCATCTCATATCTCAGTCCTTTTCATGGTGTCTAACTAGACTCCCTTTCCCTAATCTTGCTCCCCACCAAAGTCTTTCCTTCGTATTGATACCAATGTGATTTTTCCAAAGAACATTTCTGATTATATTATTCTCTTTTTATAAACTACCTGCCAATTGATTTGCCATCATGTTATGTAAAATCAAGTCCAAACTCTTTATCCTAACCATTTTCTACTGTCTCATCCATGCCCTCTTTTCCAATCTTCTCTGAGTACCCACCTCTAGCACAGGATGCAATTCAGTCATACTAATCTGGCTGCTCTGCTGCCAACATGGCGGGCTGTGATATGCCTTGGTGCCTTTTCACCTTTTGCCTGGGTTCCCTTACTCCCACATCAGCTACTCAAAAAATATCTATTCATCTTTCAACAGCAAGCTCAAGAGTGTCTTTCTCTATGAAATCTTTCCTAGTCTCTTTCCTATCTCCCCCCACTATGCACTCTATGGAGTTTTATTATACTTACTTGTTCACGTGTTTGCTTTTCCCTACTAGACAGCAAATTCCCAAAGGTAAAAGATTGTGTATTACTAATCTTATAATCTCTAAAGGCTGACATAGCACTTGACACCGTGAGGAGCATTTTATAAATGTTTATTTAAAGGACCATCATTTCCTTTTACACAAAAATAATATAAACTATGTGTTGTATATTCCTGATTTTCCATCATATATGAGTGTGATTGAACAAGAGCCTCTTCTAAATTCATAACCTGAGACTGCCTCCTCCTTTCTGATGTGATTGTAAAGTGAAGCAGAAACACATATTTCTCTTTGGATTTTTTCCTCAAAACATCCTGTAACGGAGCAGTGGACTCTTGTCTTTTCGCCCCTCTCAAAACCCCAATCGTTATGAATATTTTTGGAAACCAAGAAAAATGACTTCCAACTCTGATTTTTCCTCAGAGTAAATATATCTGCATGGGTAAGTATCCTTGATAGTACCCAGAGAACAGAAGTACTGTTTCCAGTCCTCCTATTTCAGATTCTTAGGGTGCAAGGAAGGATTGAAACCTACTTGCCATCTTTAGAAGAGCAGAGGACAATGGAGCCACTTGGACGCTTGTAAGAGGGTATCACCATCTAAACTCGGAATCCAACAGTAGGACTCAATGCTGAGACTCTGACATAGAGTTCTAGCCATTTGTTTCAAATTGTAGGAACAAAAAGGCAATATGAATATTTGATGTCCTGAAGAGAAATTTCGTGAACTAATCTGAAGTCAGTTCTTTTGAGAATTTTAGGAACTATTGCGAATTGTTGACTATTGAGATTTGTAGTCCTGGGTGAAACTGATTAGTTATCAATACCTAATAAGGATTTATAAAATGAAAACAGTCAAATTAACCATATTTAAAAATCACTTCCGTCGCCAATTTCCCCTGTATATTCCCAACTATAATTGTTATAAGAGGAATAGACTTTAAAAGTACATTTCAATAAAAAGAAAGAAATATGTTTTACAAAGGTTGCTTCTCCATTTCTTCAATATGCTGGATACTTTTACAAAAAACGTTTTAGCCTGATGGGTACAAATGGCTTATCCTCTGTTCTAATGATGTGTTGGAGGAATATTGTTTGAGAGGTAGGAAGGCTAGGTTGGAGGCAGTAAAGAAGATGCTTTGAACTTGAAAGAAACAGAATAGAGCTTTAATACTTACAGCTGTCCTCTTCTTCAGTTATACATTTCACAACATAACAGGCGTAGATGAACCCTGCCAGCTGAAACAAAACAAAGATGCTTTAGACACGAGGCAAAGGCGACAGTGCTGGCCCTCACTGGGGGGTTGGGGGGGTGGCTTTCAAAGGCAGGCAGTTTACAACTAGATTCAATATTCCAGAATGTTTTATCAGACTGGATCTTGACTCCAGTGTGGATTCTTGATTCAAGCAATTTCTCTCTGCCTTATAACTAATATATTCCTCTGTTTTTCTCTGACTTGCATTTATGTGCAAGATTTGTTAATTGCCAGGTAATCTAAAACACGTTATTTTAGGTGCAGGGAAAAAAAAGAATTACCGCCATTCGTTAATAGAATAACATTTGCATTTGTGCCAATAAACTTCAAATTTACCTACATTAGTCAAGAGCCTTAGATTCTAAAATTGGACTCCCACTGACTATCAGAAAAATGTTTTGATGGAAAAACGTTAAGGAGATTCTATGGTATGTTGCATGGACACTTTGTAAGTAAGAAAAACTCTTATTTAGACCCGTAACAGGAAGTAGGGCATCCAAGTATCATTAGGACGACATGCCACAGAGAAGCACTGCAGTGGACCCTGTAGGTAAGGAGCATCGCAATGCATTGAATTGGGATCGCACACATCACATCATCCTTTCTGAAACGTACTACAGAAAGATCTCTATGGTCCAGGAAGTCTTTGCTCAGGGAAGTTGGTACCTGTAAAGGAGCACAGCAAAGTCCTTTGATACCCATCCCCTCAGATTGAGTGGTTTTGTATTCCTTCACATCAGTATAATATTTATTTTTTATTTAGTCAAAGTATGATTGCTGGTGGAATGAAGGAAACTAAATAATTTTCTGATAAGTGGAAAAAAAGATTCTTTTCCCCAAAATAATCCAGTTTGGGGGAAAATCCTTAAAGGTGTGTCCTCAGAACAGTGATGAAGATGATTCATGATGACATTTCAGAAAGGCATTGTTCCGGCTAAGTATTGACCCCACATGGTAATATTTGTGTGGGGAAGGCACTGTTAGGAAAGGCTGCAGTCTTCCATCAGGAGGCTAAGGCACTCAGCAAAAAGGAGCGGCCAGGATAGTCTAATGAAGCCTAATGAAGCTGTTTTTCATTAGCTGACAGAGATCTTTTTGGAAGATGCGAGTAGAACAGTTTAAGTCAGAGGGTCCACTGATAGCTATTTAATGAGCACAGAACTATTTGGAGACAAAAAAGGATCCAGTCAAAAAGAACTTTAGAAAATCTCTAATTTGGATTTGAGGGAGAAATCATGTTCTGGCAGATTCTACCTCTCTTCCAAAGAGAACTAGCATAGGACAAAACAGTGGTTCCTGGAACAGAAGCAGTGACCTTGCTCGGGGGAGGAATGGGTGGGAAAGAAGACCTGTGCAACATATTCTTCAAGGCTTTTGTTTTCAGATCTGGGAGAAGAAGGAGTGGGCACCCCTCGGCCTCCCACCCACCATGTAGTGTCTGAACCAGTACCTATAACAGAGAGATAAATAAAAACACTAGTGATGCTATATTAGCAGAGTCAGTTTTCTTTTTTAAAAAAATACCTTTGGGGAATCATCAAACTAGCATTTTTCTCTTTGAATTATATGTTGCTATTGGCAATAAATTGTGATGATAAGAACTATTTCCTTATATAATAGGATCGTCAGGATCATTGTTTTTATGGAACTTGATTTTAGAATACAGAATACCTCTAAAAACCAGTGTCTCCTATTTGGCTTTAGCAAAGATTTTCATTTGACCCAATAAAATCACAATTTATAAAAAGAAAACAGACAAATTAAACACATTTTTGTGATTCTGGCATTTTCATGGGTCCTAGGACAATAGACTATAGTAACACTTAATTTTTATCCACCAGCACCCATGAAAATGCACTAATCACTGAGTGACCCAGTCCCATGGGTACTCTGTCATTGGCATTTGGATCTGGCTATGGCTAGGGAAAGAGGTTCTGGGTTTGGTTCATTCCCCTGGGCCTATACCTCCTCCCCTTCCTCCACATGAAGTCCTTAACCATCGTGGCTAAATGCTGTGCATTTATCAGTAGTTTATCTCTTCTTTTCAGTTTTAAGTACTTGTTACTTGCATTACCTAGAAAGCAATTTTTTTCTAATCACAATTTTTTTTTTTTGATTCTTACTCCTCACTTCATTCTTTTGAAATAAAAATCTAGGTAAAGAGCATTGATAAATTCTGAGATTCAGGGCTAGTAAGTTTAAACTCCTCTTCGAATTGTCACTAGTTTCTAGATTATTAACTGAACTACTCTCTAGATGCAGCCAAGGCACTGTATTCTGCTCACCAGTGACCTTTTCACTGCATTTGGTTGCATTCTTTAACTATCAAGGCCGCTCCTTTGATATAAAAGTAAATCCTGCTGCATTTCATTACAAAAGCTTGCTGATTAAGAGAACTTGAGCTTCTAAATTGGTTACTTCTAATTACAAATGGAAATTTGTTTTCCCCAAATTAATCAAGATTATAAACCTGTTATCCTCAAATTTTCCTACACCACATAAATTTCTAGTTTTATTTTTACTGCCTTAGAGCGATTTATAAAATTTACCTACAGAAAAGGGGTTTCAAATAATTTCTAACAACTTTGAATGCCTCCTATGATGTGCAACTCTGCTAATTGCTACCTGGGCTACAAAAGATGAGCTAAATTAGGGTTTCTCAACCTGAGCACCATTGACATTTTGGGTTGAGTAATTATTTTTTTTGTGGGGTCTGATATGCATTACAGGATGTTTAACTAGTAGCATCCTACAATCAAGACAGTTGACAATTGAGCCAATAACAACTGTAGACATTGCCATATGTCTTTTAAAGGGCGAAATTACCCCAGGTTAGAGCCACTCTTTTAGAAACAGTCCTATCCTAAAGGAATTTGCAATTTTGTAGCAGGGATATATGTGGTTGTAATTCGAAGTAGATTAAGACGAGTGTCATGACGAAGGAAAAAAATTGAGTCTCTACTAAGTGCAAACAGCAAACTGGGGGCTTTTACATGTTAGCTCGGTAATCCTCACAACCACTCTTGGAAGAATGTTGTATATATTTTTGCAGAGGAGAGGTAAAATGGGTCTTGTTTTTCCAGAGTGAGTTCATCAAGTGGGAAAGGTATGGGTTGTGTTCAGGGAAGAGCTGATAGTTCTATCTGAGAGTTTGGGAACCTTATATTACAGCAATAGAAATAAAAGCTGTGAAGGCAGATTTGGGCTATAATTGGAGAGCTTTAAGTATGTATCAAATTGCAAATCTATGTCATTTTCTACACAATACACTTACGGAGGAGTCCCCCATCTTCTACTGAAAAAGTATAAAATTTTCCATGAAATACACATCCTTCCTAATGTGATCCTTAGCACCCTTTCTAGCCTCATTCCCTACGACTCCTAGTCTCAGAATTGATGCCTGTATTAAGCTGTTGGTAGTTTGTTGACATATATCAAGTGGTTTCCCTTTTCTGTTCTTTAGCTCATTAACCCATTCTCCCAACAAAGCTTACGATTGCCCTACACCTCCTCCCTCCCCTCCCTGCTCAGCCTTGCACCTTAGAGTAACTCTAACTCATCCTTTAGGACTGAATTAAAGTGTTGCCTCCCCCAAGAACTGGCAATCCATTCCCAGGGTAGGTTGTAGGTTGCATTTTGAAGATGGACCTCGAGAGATGGGAGGGCTTTGAGAGGGAAAAATGAGGGGACAGGAGAAGACGTCTTCCAAGCAGAACTCAGAAAAGCTCTGGGAAGGTGTGGATTATGTTCAGAGAGGAGCAAGTGGCCCCAGTTGGGAGGAGCTGGGTGATGTGAAGGAGATAATGGTGCTAAAGCAGAAGACAGTGACCCATGTTGTCATAATAGACCTGAGTCCCTGGAATTAAAATAAAATTATTTGTTTTAGCGATAGAATAATAACGAAAGGGACTGGGTGGTATTATACTAGGCAAACATACAATTATCCACTTGTAAAAAAAACCAAAATATTACTGTTGTCTTAGTCTTTGGCACTCAAAGCAGAGCTAAGCCTAAATCTTTTTATTTTTATTCATCTTTTCACCTCGATACATCTAATATGAGTTGTTCACTTCTAATTCACCTGATAGGGAATTACGTATCACCTTGATATCATTACTGGCTGAAAGGAAGTGATATTTTCTCTTTATAACTAAATCAAGTTAAAATTCTTCTTTGTATCTACAAACCAAATTATGATTGTATGTCCCATAAATTCACTTAGAAGCTAATAGATAAGAGGAAACCAAAGCCTTTTGGTAAGTATTTAAAAAGATTCAGTTGTAGTAATTGAAAATGTAACAACCTTAATTTTTAAAATACTATCTTTTGGACTTCTCTTTCCAGGAAGTTGGAGTAGACATCTTTTTCCTAAAGCTTCCACTAAGTACCACTATTACCCCTGGACAAATTATATATATAACAAACATAGGAAGACCCTGAAAGGTGGAAAGAAGGTAGACTGTCTAGGAATCGTGGGACCCAAGGAAGGACATGGGAGTGACTTTCCTATTTTTCTTTTGTCTCATATATACCAGACTTGGAGCTCAAGAAACCCGCAACTCAGAAATGCCAATGCGCACAGATAAAAAAGCCCCCAAAAAACCTGCTCTCTCTAGCCAGAGGACCAGGAAAGGGACAGCCTAGTGAGACAAAAAATTTTTAAGACAATAATAGCTCTTCTTTAGCCAATACCATGGAAAAACCTATAGCCCCACTCCCCAACCACAGCAGCAAATAGTGGAGAGCAAGACTTCCCGCCTGGCCAGGCTATGGTGCTGGGAAGTCAGGCAGGAAGGCTGGAGGTTCATTCCTGCCAGGAAGGAGAAAGTACCCTTCCCTAGTGTCAGTAGAGACCACATGGGGGATCTAGACTTCTAGCCTCACCCTGTAGTAAGAAGGCACTCCTCCCTGCCTGAGTGGGGTGGTGTCAGAGGAACCCTATTGGAGAATCAGGACTTTCACCAATGCCAAGCAGTATTGAGG